AGAGTAGGCGGAGCCAATTCTCACGTATTGCCTGCGACCAGTTAAATAGCTCTTGAACCATTTGACAGTAGAGGGTGAGGCTCCTAAGATGGAGAGTTTGTGGAGCAACCTTGCATGGTCTATACTGTCGAAGGCTTTGGATAGATCTAATAGTACTAGTGCTGTTATCTGCTTTTTATCCATTGCTTTGAGTATCTTATCCGTGAGCAGGATGTTTAAGGTCTCTGTAGAATGAGCTTTTTTATTGCTGCTTTGGTGTGAGGTAAGGCGGTTGTTTTTTGTGAGATAGGCGATGAACTGATTCAAAACAATCTTGAAGCTACGGCTAGCAGAGATAACGGTCTGTTGTAAGCAGCTTTTTCATGGTCACCTTCTTTAAGAATCGGAATCACCTCAGCCTCTTTACAGTTGTCAGGAAATGTGCTAGTAAGGATGGAACAATTGATGATGTCAGTAAGAGGGCCCAATATGACAGGGAGACAGTCTCTTAGTACACGAGTGCTGATCTTGTCTGGTCCCGGAGATTTATTCATTGGGAGAGATGTTACAATTTGGCGAACCTCTTCATGTGACACTGTCCTTAAATTGAATAATTCAATAGAGGTAGTATCTATGCCAGTTTCAGATGAAAAATCTCGGACTGTGATGTTATCTTCTTCCCTCAGGCGCTGTACTGCGTCAGCGGCATTTAAGCCGACTTTAGCAAAAAACTGATTGAATTCGTTGGTTAAGACTGTCACATCCTTTGTAAAGGCTGGCCTCTGCTTATCTTTGGAGGGGATGGCGCGATTAAAAATTTTCCACAGTGAGCCAGAGTTGTTTTTATTAGCTGTGACCTCTTCAAAGGTGTGATCTCTTTCAGCTTCTTGTAGCTTTTTCTTGACCAAGTCACGGGAATGTTTGAAATTTATCCACTCGGTGTCTTGGCGAGACTGTATGAATTGCTTCAGGAGGAGATCTCGCGATCTCATGAGATCCTTGATTTCCTGGTTCACAAAAGGGCACGGTCTACTCCGAAGTTTAATTTGTTTCACGGGAGCATGTAAGCTCAAGACAGACTGCAAAGTGTCATTTAAAATCTTGAGCTTAGAGTCTACATCGGTTTGATCGAAGAGAGTGAGCAGGAAATCCGCTTCCTTAGCTAGATCCGTGACAAAGAGATCCGCATTATACTTGTTGTAACTTCGAGTGGTAATGTACTGAGGGGTAGTCTTGGGTTTCTTAACCTTGAGCTTGACAAAAACAATTGAATGGTCACTAATTGGTCGATGTATTACACCGCTATCACGCACTGAATTGTTGGAGGAGACTAGGATAACATCGAGCAGGGATTGAGTGGTCGCTGTTATCCTGGTTGGTTTTGTAATGAGTTGTTTTAGGTTCATATCCGTATACAATTTCTCCAGAGCTTTGAATTCAGTGCCTGTTTTCTTGAGGCCGTCGCAGTTTAGGTCGCCTAGGATTGTGATTGGTTTGTCAAGCAGCAAGGCTTGAATATAGCGGGGCTTAAGTAGTTCTTCGAAGGAACTCAGAGGAGAGTCGTCGGGGCGATATGTCACACAAATTATTGTTGATTTTAGTTTCTTGCCCAGGACATTTATCCAAAGCTGATGGAAATTTTGCTCGGATATCGATGACAACTCCTTCAGTACAGATGACTTGAGATCTTTGCCGACATAGGCACATACTCTGCGACCTCTTTTGTGAAGTCGATCTAACTTGTGTAATTTGTAACCTTCGATTTGTATCTCTGCTGAAGTGACGGTGGTATTGAGCCATGTTTCAGAGATTGTAATGATGTCGCTTTTCCTTTCAGCTGCAAAAAGTGAGCGCGATTTTTTAGCGATCTAATATTCAAATGAAGGATTTCAAGCCCACCAGGCGCTTTGGAAGGTTGTTTGTTTTCTTTAATGCGCTTTACGGAGCATAGATTATGCAAATTTACTCCTCTCTCGCCAGGTTTTGTGTTGTCAGGTTTCCGCTGAACATGAGAGATTGCAATATTATGTTTATGGTTTCGGACAGCCTGACCAGAGCGAACTCCTCGTGTTCTGAATATTCCATTGCTTTTCAGCAAATGGAAGGTTTCGTCTGGGATTTTAAATTGCCATAACCGCAGTTGTAGTAGCTCAGATCTTGTTAAGTACACAATGTCAATCAATTAAGTACATACAGATTGATAGATATTGTCTTTTCAAAATAATTTCTTATTTCCTATAGTAGAGTAATGTATAACTAGAATGCTTTTACAGCAGCATTCAGTATCGCTTGCTTGGAGATTAGATCCAGAAATGAGAAGGTGCAGATTAATATTGTACATGAAACAGGATTTACTAATGTTAAAGGTTTTTTACTTCCTACTTTATTGACATTGATACTTTTTATTTGTTTCTGAAATTATTTACAATTAGCATGTGTATTAGCAACAACAAAATATGTCTGTGCTCACAGACTATATGCATCTATATATAAATACACAACAATTCAAGGGCCTGAATTGCAGGGAAATTACATCATTGCCTGCAGAGATCAAAAGAGTCATTTAGATGCCATGTCATTTCAATCATCACCAAAAATAAACTGCATGCTCATCACCACACCCATTTGCAATATACAATCTTATGACAGTTTAGAACACCTAACAATCACAGTTTAATTTGCTAATTAAGATTCTTATTTTTTTTTCCAACCACTGAGTATAGTCTTTACTTGTTCCATACTTTCACAAAAGTCCTAAATTTAATATTTCTGAAGCTTTCTTTACAAAATATGCCTGGCTTCAATCATGCAATAATTCTTAGTCCCACTTTCCACAGTCTTTGCAAGGAATGTCTTGTACAATGACCCCCTTTTGTGTCCTAAGGAAAACGAACAATGTGGTGCAGATTAACTCTTTCTGCTTTATTACACAAGCAAGAGTTAAATAATATGTACAACAAATTATATCGATTGCATGTTGTTTTTAGAGACCCTCTGTTGACACTCAGCTTATTTGCTTCGTCCACTTCTCAGTAGAACTCTCTGAACTAACAAGTAAGAAACACCATAATTTTCTCTTGGACGCAGTCACTTACAACAGACATCAGAGGTCTTCAAAGTTTTTGATAACTTTCAACAAGGCAGGAAACACACAAAGGACGTATACATACGTCCCACAGCTACAACCTAGGAATTAATTGCAATTCATATTAATACTTTGAAAAACTGACAAAATGAGATTAGAGACCTTAAGATACCCTGATATTGGTGTACGGGTACGGGTAGTGTACCCGTACACGTAAAATGTTCATGTGCGTGACTATTTCGATTAAGATACCAGAAGAGTTAACGCGCGGGGATTGGTAAGGATTGTTTACAAAGATGGCGGCTGCGGCAGCGAGGTTGGCTCTTTTTCCTCTGAAATAAGTTGACTGAATTGTTTAATATAGTCTATCAAATATATCCAAAATTCTTCTTTACGAATGTTCTTTTTTTAGAAAGCACACCAATGATATGCTTCTTCTTCATTCGTTCGACACTGAGGATGAGGACATCGAAATTCTTCTTGTGGATGCTTTGAGCAAAATTCTGTCTAGTGTTGAGTTGGGTTTTAAAATTGACCTTGAAAGTTTGGACGAGCAAACTTGCATCGACTTCTTTAGGTAACAGCGAATTGGAATTATAGTCATCGAAACAAAGGTAGGGTATGTATTCGAACTCTCCAAAACCTTCCAACTTTTCTACTCAGGTTTAGCAAAAACGATCTTAGAGTGCTGCACGATGCTCTTTCAATACCTGCTGTGTACAAGTGTCCAAATGGAACTGTGGCTGGTGGCTTGGAAGCACTGCTTATCCTGCTACGAAGATTGACATATCCCAACCGTTTGTGTGATTTGTGTCAGTTGTTTGGAAGACCCGAGCCGGAACTGAGTATGATAATCCATGAGGTAACTCTATTTATTTATTTATTTATTTTTTTTGAGGTGGGGGTGGGGGGTTGGGGTCAGCATTACTTTGGGTAAATAAATGGCCCTACCCCATATCATTGTGTGCTTTTTTTCAGACATGTGGGACATAATAAACAGTTCTAGAATTTCCTGGTAATATTCACTAGTACTAAAAGTTAAGGGTATTCCATGTAATTGAAACATCCCCCTAAATGTCTTCTTTCAAGCCATATGTTTAAATGACCATTTTCCCCCTACCTTTTAAAGGTTTTGAATGACCTGTACATCAGGTTCAACCACTTGCTGGAGAACTTGGATCAGAACTGAATTGATGCACAGTCATTTGCAGAAGCCATTCACAATGCTGGACGTCCACTAGACAACTGCTGGGGTTTTATTGATGGCACACTGAGGCCATGCTGCAGACCAATAACAAACCAGCGAATTTTGTTTTCTGGGAACAAGCGGGCACATGGTTTGAAATTCCAGGTAAAAAGGACAGCTGGCCAAATATATTATTTTTTTGTGCATTTAATAATTGGATGTTAACCTAATTTGTGTTCATTTGCTTTTATAAGTGCATTTTGCAAATGTTGAAGTTAAAAGATGTCTCAAAAATATATCTCAAATATAAATATTGTTTTATTTTTCAGAGTGTTGTTTGTCCAAATGGTTTGATAGCAAACTTATATGGCCCAATTGCTGGACATCACCATGATGCCTTCATGCTTCATGAGAGTAATTTAATGCCCAGGCTTGAAGGAAAGTTCAGGGCTCCACATATATTCAGCCTGTATGGAGATCCCGCCTACCCTCTCCGGCAGCATTTACTTGCCCCCTTATAGAGGAGCAGTGCTAACCCCAGCTCAAGAGTTGTTCAACAAAAGAATGAGTAAAGTTCAGGAATCAGTTGAATGGGCATTTGGGAAGGTTGCGCAATATTTTGCATTTCTCGATTTTCGGAAAAACCTCAAAGTTCTTTTGCAACCAATTGGGAAATACTATGTTGTGGGTGTTCTTTTGATTAACTGCCATACTTGCCTATATGGTAGTGTAACTTCGATTACTTTTCCTTGCCTCCCCCTGACCTACACACATACCTTAATTAATTGATAATTAAACTGACAAATACAACTTTAATTCAAAAACGTAAGCTACATTTTTCATCACTTTTTGATTTACAGATATCAAACTTTGGTAAGTTTCTTTACTCAGATAAAAGGCCACTTCCATAACTTCTTAACTTCTCTTCTTACAAGAGTGAAACATTCAAGCCAACATGAAAAGTCAACATGAAGTCTCATGCAAGCATACAACATTAATTTTGTAGTGCTACTTTTTGAAGCTCATAAAAGCTTTTAATAATTCAAGCTGCATGTTCATTTGTTGCTCCTACAGGGAAATGCGTCTCTTCTCAACTTCTAATTGCTCTTGCCTAAGTTTAGTTTCAGCCTCAAGTGCATCTCTTTTGTATTCTAGCTCCTGGGATCTCAGTTCTTTTTCTAACTCCTTTTCTGACAGGTATGACATCACATCTGGTCGACTTGGTTGCTTTCTTTTTTTTGGCTTTCCTAGTAAAATAATAATTATTAAATTATTAATTATTAAAAGGTAATTGCATATTGTGTGTGAATTATTATTCTCACAGGAAATACCAAGGGTAAAACTGAAGGCATTTTGAAACTACAAAATAAATGACATTTTGCTAACAGCTTGATACTTGAGATATTCCACAGTGCACCTAACATAGAGGGACTTGACATACAAAGAAACCAGAGATGAGAATGACCCCCCCCAAAAAAAGAAGGTCATTAAACCACACACCCCAAAAATAAACCGTGATGAACAAGAAGTTTGCCATATGGCATTTTCATATTTACTTTTTCAGTGGGAGGGGGTGGTTTGGCCAGTTTTACCCAAACATTTAAAGAGTACTAACATTCTAGCTGGTAATTCTTTAGAAAATAAAAGACAATGGGCCAGGCACCCAGGCTCTTGAATGAGAAAAATATACATCTACTGAACATTTCCTGATGATAAAACTTTTATTCACAAGTAAAGAAGTAGGCGCATGCACAACCAGTTATACTTACTGGCACTGGGGCCAACTGCTCCCTCATCATCTGAATTGTCACTGCCTGAAGTTCTTGATTCTGAAAAAGAAAAAGAAAAGAACAGGGATGGTTATTTTTAGAATTCCTCTATTTCAAAATTTAAGTCTTAAGTGAGTAATAACTTACTTCTCTTCAGTGTTTCCATAGCCTTATCCCTGAATTCACTTGCTTTCTTTTTATCCTCTTCATCTTTTTTCTTGCCTTTCTTGCTCTGCTGCTGTAAGTCATCAACATAAGCCCTGATATCATCTAAAAGTTGATGAATTTCATTATACTGCTCCTCAGTGCCTGACCTGACAATTTAACAATATGACCCTATTTGCTCATTATTTAATGGCTGCAAAGTTTGGTAAAAACTAAAAAAGAATTTATGAAATACTTTTTTAAGGCTGCAGTGTTCTCATCTTTGTGATGGCGAAGAAGAACATCAAAGTGCTCTTTACATGAGCGGCCTTTGACTGTGATCTCGTCTTTTGCCCATGCTCTTTGAAGATTGTCAGCAATTAGGTTCCAGTCATTGGGATTACTAGGTCTTAATGCCAGCACTTCTCTAAGAAGATCAAGGTCATGGTTTATGTGCCACCTAAACATAGTCTGGAAATGAAAAACCATTGTGAGATTTTTCTAAGGTGAAGAAGACTGGATAGGAGGGTTTCTGAAAATCTACACACTTCTTGGTGCTTCCCACAATTATGTAGGTTGCTTTCAACCGTAACTGATCTTCTTTAAGTTCTTAGCAAGTTACATTTTTCTCATTGATCCTTCTTTATCATGCCCCCCCCCAACACCCACACACACACACACTCTTCCCTTCTATATCCAAATGCTTTGCTTAATAAAACACTGGCAAGACACATTTTCAGAAAACTAAACTTCTTCCAGGGTTCGTGCCCCTTTTTCAGAAACAAAGAAGTTCTAGGGCTTTTCCAGAACTTTTTGAGGACTCTAAAATTCACATTAACCCTTTCACTGCCATGATCTCAATGTTAATTCTCCTTACTGTCTGCCATACATTTCATATTTTACACTCAAGTTCAACAGATTTCCAGAACTTTCCAGGAGCAGCAGCCCTTTTCTAGGACTCCAGTTCTGGAAAATGCCACAGTAAAATTACAGGATTTTCCAGGTTTTCCAGGACCCGCACGAATCCTGTCTTCCCTCAGTTAAAAGAACAAGCACACAAAATTAACTTTGTACATGCATGTCGCTTAATGCATACAAAATCTCCCTCAAATTCTACACTTCATATCTTAACAACAAGCTGCAACAAATAATTCATTCATACATAAGCTTATTAAAATATCATAGAAAGATTTTAAGAAACTTGGCGGGAAGTCCTTCGACCGAAAGCTTGTTATCGCAAACCCCGCCATTTTGATCGAGGCACATCACCAAACAATTCCTTTGATTGTCAACTTCAACAGTGACTCCCCTGCTAAATTTTTTAATGCTATTTCTTTTGCGAAACTCAAACGTTCGAGCAATTCTCAGAAATCCCCCCAAATACCGCCACAAATTGATATCGTTTCAGAGTTCAACCTGCGCATAAATTGAGGTCCAAAATCAATACATTTTGAAGTGCTTTCTTTACAGCTAAAATTCAAATTTGGCAACAATATTTGAACAGACTTGCAATAACATTGCCAAGGAGTCATACAATTTACATTTGTACTTAAAAACTTACTCGTTTCTCCATCACTCACTCGTAAATCGTAAATCTTCTCGTACCCGTAAATCTTCTACGGGTAAACAGGTGTCTAACCCGGAAAAACGGCTGGTTCTACCGGGTAAGGTCGATGACGTCACCACAAAATGAAAAAAACATGGCGCTACCCGTTACCTGTACACTGATTTCGGGGTATCTTAAGGTCTCTATTATGAATTATATATCAATTTTGCTGACACAGGAGAGAACACATGTACAAAAACATAAACCTGTAATATTGACCGAGTAGCTTGGTAATAAAAACTACTTGGGCAAAGGTGACACTGTGATCCAACAAAGCACCTCCCACCAATAGGCACAGGTTTGAATCCTGGCATGTAACATCATACATGGCTTAACTTTATAATGTAGCTTCTGTCCCTTTCTTCAATACCTTTTTCTACCCGTACTCTGCTTTTCCCCTCTGACCTTAAAAACCAACACTTCCAAATTCAAATTCAATCTGGAAAACACACAGACACATGCCAATATTTTTAGGGATTATTATGTGCTTCTGCATTTAGTACACAAAAATTACTTATGGCAACAAAATTAGTTGAGGTACTTTGCATTTAAATTACCTTTGTTATCTTTTACTCACTTCAGAAGGCAAAAAAATGAAATATTTCCCCCCATTGGCTATCTCCTCAACACAATTTCAGGCTGAGCTAAACTGTAACACCCCAATTTTGAATGGTCAAAGCAATTTGAAAAGCACTGCTGTGAATTCAGCTTTTCTCCTCCAGAGTTACTAAACTATTTCACTACAAATCTCTCAACAATTGTCTTGTGAACTGTATCTTAATTATTCCGGAATCTTACTTGAAAGTGCTTGAACAAAGACTGTAACTGTTGTTGAGTTAAAGATTAAGTTTTGGTTAGACATTAGTGACGCGTAAGATCTAAATTGCCGTACCTCATGCGTTGTTGCTTGATAGAGTTTATGCGAAAGATCTATCTGCGAAGTTAACTGCATTCATTTGTGAATCTATTCAGGCGTACAGAGAGGACAATCGGTAAGAGTATTTTTCTCTCCCCTTGTTGTTTTCGTTTCAATATTTGATCGATTATTGTTAGGTTTTTTGTGTGCTCGTCCTTTCGTGTATTGTTATGTAATAACTATTGCTTTAGCTTAGCTCCGTTTCATGTCGCTTAGACTAGGTTTTCTTGTTTGTATTTTTAGTTTGACGTGTTTGACATCAGATTAAATCGCATTGGAATCACAGTTGTTCGTGTCTGGTGTTGAAATTCAGTACATCGCTGTCCTTGTGAGAACTTTGACTTTCAACATTCCTACGCTGTTAAACGCCTGCAGTTACAGTCAAACGATTTTTCCCGAACGATTGAGAACATTTTTGGGCCATTGCGGTTCAGCTCACACAATCAGCATTATTTAAGGCAGTTCAGAACCGAAAGAACATGCGATTAAATCAAAAAAAGTAAGATCTGATGGCGAAAAGCGCATTGACAGGTCTAGAAGAACCATGGGACCACGTGGAATTTGACAATTCGTACGACCAGCAAGAAGCCCAACGTCGAAGCGCTTTGAATACATTCTCAATCTTCGCCGTCAGTCTGCCATCGCAGCTAAGAGGTCATGGAGAAAACAGATCAATTTAATCCATTCGCTTCTCGTCACGCAAAAGGACATTGCGACACTCACAGCGGGGTGCGAAGAATTGGAGAAGAAAATGACACTCTTCGGTGAGTCACATGAAGCATTAGAGGCTATAATCGATGATGAAGAAGAAAGAAAGCTCATGTACGAGGACTTTGAAGTTATCTCGAGCGAAAATAATGGCGTTCTGAGAATGATCAGCGAAAAAATTGTCTCAAGAGCAAGAGCTAGACTCGAAGAGCTCAACTACATCAGGATCGACCAAAACAAGCAAGATCTCCAGCAGATCGAGCCGCAAATCTTCACGTATGCCCCCTCCAAATTCATCGTTATCTGTGCGAGAGAAGAGGGTCCAACTTGAAGGAGACATTGCTTCTCTAAGAGCAACAATGGCTCTTGCTGAAGAAAGGCAAAGGAAAGAACTTGAATATAGAAGGAAAATGGACGAAGTGCAAAGAAAAAAGATGGAAATTAAATGGGAAGAGGAGCATGCCAAAGAAGAGCTAAAGGCCCTAGAAGAGAACTTTCGAATCAAACAAGAATTAGTCCAGAAGGAAGCACAGATGATTGCGTCCATTAAACATGAAGAAGACAATCATATCCTTTTAGATGAGTTTTCCAGTAGACCTCCGACGGAGATAGGCTCAAGGAGCCTTTTAGAGAAATTCCTTGATGATCAATCAGCATCCGCGTCTGAAGCAAACGTACCTCATCGAAACCAATCACCTATTCTTTCAACTCACTGGCCACCAGTGTGTGAGTCTAAGGGAAGGATTATCGCATCACAGGCAGCGAGCCACGCTCCACTGAATCCATTCTCGTCCCCTTTGAAACAGATCTACACCTTAGCAAACAGTTCTCTTAAAAACCCTTTCCAAGACGCTTTAACCACGCCCACTTCAGCAGGAGTAAATGGAAAGAAGCCTAAGTACATGGACAATCCTTGAAACTAGCTGACGAAAGTCCCGAAGGTCAAGTTCAATCAAAGCTGCTTGAAGTTGTGAAGCTGTTGGCGGAAACCCAGAATCAAACCCGTCTTCCGCTCCCTGAGCCAGAAATATTTACTGGAGATCCGCTGCAATACCCTATTTGGGTGAAAGCATTCGAGACCCTCATTGAAGGACGAGCCATCAAGCCATCGGAGAGACTCCAGAAAGTATATGAAAGGAGAAGCCAAGGAAGTTGTCGAAAGCTTCCTGCTCTTAGACTCAGAGGATGCCTACGATAAGGCTAAAGAGACGCTTAAGAAACGCTTTGGTGATCCATTTGCTGTTGTGACCACTTGTCGAAAGAAACTCGAAATCTGGCTTAAGATCCAACCAAACGACAGCACTGGCCTAAGAAAGTACGCAGACTTCCTGGTCCAATGCGAAAAAATTATGGAGAAGATTGGAAGCCTTCATGTTCTAAATGACGACCATGAAAACCGGAAACTCGCCTACAAACTTCCAAGGTGGGCAAGTAATCGCTGGAGTCGATTTGCATTTCATTGGAAAGAAGAGAATGAAACTTTCCCTCCCTTTTCAGAGTTTAAGTTCGTGGTGAAAGAAGCAGACACTGCTTGCGACTCCGTGTTATCTTCACCACTCCCCAAGAAAGAAGACAATGGTAGGATACGATACGAGAGAAACAAGCCAAAGAGACAATGGCTTCCCCAAAGAAAATCACATGATGTCAGTACATTTAAGACAACTACTACTGATGAGAACAAAGGCACTGATGACAAGAAGTAGACGCCCAAAGTTATCGTCAAGTCTTGCATTTTCTGCAAGACAGATCATGACCTACAACCCTGGACAAAACTGTTGAGACAGTTCCATGTATTTTCAAACTTTTGCGCCCTACTCCCGTCTCCCCTAAACACAAAACGTAAAACCCCTCCCCACCCCCTATTGAAAGTTGTCTTGGTCTAAAAACCAACGTGTATAATTGCCATGCTATCCTTAACAACTTTGGATAAGGGGAGGGGGGAAATCGGGCATTCATTTGTGGGAGGTTTCAGTTTTTGCTTGGATGACAGGAAAAAACAGGTACCGTATTTCTTCACCTATAAGCCGAGCGATTTTTTCAGTTTTCGACCCAAATATTTGGGAGATTTTTCACGGAGAACGGGGTTCGGCTTATAGCCGAGGGTTTTACATTTTAAAAATATACAGTTGCTGAATAACTTTACCCCCCCGGCTTGTAGTCAAGTTAGCAATGAAGCAGAAGTAATAAAACACAACAAAAATAACTTCTGAATATTGGTTATTCACTTTTATGAAATTGGTGGCTCCTAAAGGAGCCGTTTGTGGATACGTGCAAGGGCTTTCAACCCAATGGTTTACTCGCCATCCGTTTCGTTTTCGCTGTCTGTGTCGAACTCGTTCTCTTCTATGTCTTCATCGTCTACTTCTGGGGTTTCCTCAGAGTAGACCACGTAAATCCTCTGTTCCGTCCAAGGCATTGGAAATACCGTAGGTCTTGAAGGATTTGACAACCATCTCTTCGGGTATCTCTGCCCATGCTTCCTTGATCCACCTGAGGACAAGATTTCTGCTTGGCGCCTTCTTCTTCCCAGCTGGGGTAAACTCAAATGGCCCAGATGTCATCCACGCCAAGTACTTTCGGCGCACATTATCTTTAAATGGCTTGTTTAGGCACTTATCCAAGGGCTGTACAACCGGGGTTAGGCCACCAGGGAGAACTGCGACGTCAATGTTTCGCTGCTTCAGGTCATCTTTCACGGAATCGGTCAAGTGAGCTCGGAATGAGTCCCACACCAAAAGGGAACGCTCGGCACGGGGCAAACTCTGTCGAATCCATTCTCGGATGCCCTGTTCATCCATCCACCCTTTCTTATGGAAGGAAACACGAAGAGGATGCGGCACAACCAGATCTCTCGGTGTACGGACGCCTTTGAAGATGACTTTCGGTGGCACCTTTGCTCCATCGGCAGCAACAGCAAGAACGACGGTGAAGCTCCGCTTTTCCGCTCCGCAAGATTTTACTGGCACTGTTCGGCTTCCACTGAATTCCAGTGTTCGGTTCGATGGCAGCTCAAAACGCATGGGTGTCTCATCCATGTTGTAGATGCGGGATAAAGGGTAGTCGGCGCGTCTTCTTGCTGCAATGACGAAGCGATGAAACCGCACAATGTTCTCTTCGAGATCGGCGGGCAATCGCTGGGCCAGAGTTGTTTTGGTTCGCATGCTGACCGAGTGGCGTCGTTTCCATTTCTCGTACCATCCACGGGAAGCTTTGAAAGCAGGATCATCGGAGAGCTCTTTAGCTTTAAGGCGAAGGATCAATCCACTCACCGCAATACCTACGAAAAATAAAATAACAATCTTATTTTGCTGCGAGATAACCGTAGATTCGTGACTGCAGCACTCTTTTCGTGACATGTTATGAAATTGTCATGACAACAACATATTTCTGACCAATCAAAGTCTCTGTTTCCCACGCACTGAAAGACGATATCATTCAACTCTTCAAAAACTCTTAAAATTTTAGACAGAAAAGTAAATACCAACCTTGTTCTCTTTGCTGTGAAAACCACTCCATCACTTGCTGGTCTAGTTCGGGATATTTCGGAGTGAAACGGCCCATCGTCGCACGTTTTGCAGACATCTTCAGCTCTCCGGAAAGAATAGTCGCCTGGTCTCTTCTCCAGCGTCGTACCATGGACTCGCTTAGTCCATATTCTCGAGCGATTTCCGAGTTGTTTTCTACCGCTTCAGCTTCCGCGATAACTTTTATCTTGAAAGCCATACTATACGAGGAATGGCGTGCTTTAGGCATGATGATAAAAAGTGACAGCGACGAAAGGGATACTCGATAGATTGATACTTTGAAACGTTTAACTGAGATTATTATTGTTGTTGTGGTTAATCTGTTGTCGCGTGGTAGTATTTATACAGTTTGTTGGATCAATTGATATTCATATCTCTTGATTGGTTCGCTTTTTTTCTTTTGTGTTTATTGTAATTCATTAGGTTTTGGGTTTAGTGAGTCAATTTCTTATGTTTTCCGTGAGGTTCGCTTGCTCAAATGGCCAGTTACAATCAATAATTTCGCTCTCGGCTTATAGCCGATGGTTTTACCTTTTTTTTTGGGCAGCTTGAGTCTAGCGTAAAGACCCTGAAAGTCAGGGTCTCGGCTTATAGACGAGATCGGCTTATAGGTGAAGAAATACGGTATTTTCGCAATTTGTCTCAACAGGTTTTGTCCGGGGTGTAGATGCTTGTCCAGAATTCATGAAGAGGACTATCAGCGAAAGAAAGGAATTTGCCTCCATCAGAGGACTCTGCTTTGGCTGCTTGCAGCGTGGTCATTTGTCTAAGGACTGCAAAGAAAGAAACAAGAGTACCGTTTGCACCCGACAACATCCCACTCCATTTCACGGCGACTTCAGAAGGCGCGAGGAAAACACCGGTGATAAACAAGACTCAAGCAAGATACCAAAGGCAAACAATTCTACAACCTGCTTCATGAACGGCCAAGGCAAGACTCAGGCTAACTCAATGATTGTTCCAGTTTGGTTAAGCCACCGAAACAATTCAAGTAACAAGCGACTTGTTTATGCGCTCCTAGACGACCAATCAGACACAACATTCATCACAGACACCACCCTTAATCATCTTGGTGTTTCAGGACCAGAAACAAACCTGTTGTTATCGACAATGCATGCCACCGACGAGCTGATTAAGAGTAGAAAAACAGAAGTCTTATGGTGCAGGACTTCAAGCGCCAAGTCACCCTGCAGCTACCTAAAGCATTTTCCCGTGAAATCATTCCAGCAAAGAGATCCCACATTCTGAGACCAGAGTCAGCGCTCCAGTGGCCCCACTTGGAGAAGATTGCAACGCAGATTGTACCTTATCCGAGCAATGTAGAGATTGGAATTCTGATAGGATCAGATTGCCCACGCGCAATAATGCCTAGAGAAATCATTCCTGGAGAAGATGACAGCCCTTACGCTTTGAGATCTGACCTAGGCTGGGGAATCATTGGAAAGATATCCCAACCCCTCAGTGAAGAAGATGGTGATGAAGATGAAACTGGTGTTTCTCACCGAATTTACACGTGCGAAGCATGGGAACCACCCGACCCTCAAGTAGATGCAGTGGAACCCAGCAAGAGAGGTTGCTGGAAAAGTCACGTTTGTACAACTGCACCACTTCTCGGACGCGAGCGGCCATGGGTACGGTCAGTGTTCGTACTTGCGCCTTACAGATGACACTGGTCAAGTCCACTGCAGCTTCGTCATGGGCAAGGCCCGGGTAACTCCACTGAAACCTGTAATGATCCCTCGACTTGAACTAATGGCAGCACTACTCTCCGTCAGAGTCGGCGCCTCACTGCAAGAAGAGCTCGAGTACGATCAGATTACGGAGGTATTTTACACTGATAGCCAAGTTGTCCTTGGCTATATAAAGACTTGACGTTTTCACGTCTTCGTGGCCAACTGGTTTCAACAAATAAGAGAGAACAGCACCCCCGACCAGTGGAAGTACATAGAGACCAAAGAAAATTCAGCTGATGAATCCTCACGTGGTCTTTCTCCTCAAGACCTGGTCAACAACTCCCGATGGCTAAGCGGACCACCCTTCTTATGGGAACGAGAGCTTCCGAAGAGAAATGAAGACGTCAACCTTGACATCTCTCCAGAAGATCCTGAGGTTAAGAAAGTACACGTTTTCGCTACCAAAACTCACCCCGAAAGGATGGCAACCATTTCGGAATGCTTGGAGTACTTCTCCGATTGGCACAGAGCCAAGAGAACTGTCGCTGCATGCACAAAACTCATAGCCTCACTTCAACACAGTTCCAAAGAACCCTCACATGGCGTGAAGAAGACAAGGAAAGAGAAACAAACAACAATCTACCGATCGTCGTCAGTAGATGAAATGCGAAAGGCCGAACAAGCCATATTGAAGTCAGTTCAAGAAGCCTTTTCCGAAGAAATTAAGATTCTGAAGTCCTTAGGAGTGAGCAACGACGATACAAGTAGAGAATCTACAAGAAGACGCAATTCTTCCATGAAGAAGACTAGTTCATTATATCGACTAGATCCCTTCATAGACGAGGACGGTGTCTTACGAGTTGGTGGCCGGATCAGAAACGCCTCAATATCATATGATGTCAAGCATCCAGTTATCCTTCCGAGTAAAGGCCATGTTACAATGTTGTTAGTGAGACATCACCACGAGAGGATAAGTCACCAAGGCCGAGGAATTACAATGAACGATCTGCGTTCACATGGATACTGGATAATTGGAGGAAACTCATCAGTTTCCCGATACATCTCTAAATGCGTGACTTGCCGTAAGCTCCATGGAGCGTTAGAAGAGCAGAAGATGGCAAATCTGCCCGAACACAGGCTGGAACCGGCCCCGCCTTTTACTCATTGCGGAGTTGACTACTTTGGCCCATTTGTTATAAAGGAAGGCCGTAAAGAGTTAAAGAGATATGGAGTGCTGTTCACGTGACTGTCCAGCCGTGCCATCCATTTGGAAGTATCCGCCTCCCTAGAAACTGATTCGTTCATTAATGCATTGCGCTGCTTCATAAATCGACGAGGCCCTATATGAACGATCAGATGTGACCAAGGAACCGACCTCGTGGGCGCCAAGAACGAGTTAGAGAAAGCGCTGTCATCAGTGGACCGGTCCCACGTTCGCCATTTTCTTTTGGAACGCAACTGCGATTGGATTGAATTCCAGCTCAACATTCCGTCAGCTAGCCACAT